AGAAGGGTCTTCGCACTGTCAAACTGCGCAGCAGCAGTGTCATCTTTCCATGGCTTCAGCAATGAAGACAGCTGCAGAATAAACTCCTACTGCTGCTCCCTCTGGGACTTTTGGGTGCCCCATGTGCACAGGGATGGGTGCTCAGCTGCACAGGGGCCCCAGTGTGAGCTGCCTTGCTGCAGTGGGGAGCCCATTTACCCGTCCCCTCTCCCTGGGGCACTGAGGCAGCCACTAGCATAGAGCTGGCTCCCTGCTCCAGAGTTCCACCCTGGGCGTTGGCATGATTGTGACATAGCAATAGATGTTCAAGGAGGGGCATGGGAAAGATGCTGTCAGGGGGTGTCTTGTAAGAGCATCAGGAAAGAGAGATGGAATCAAGATAAGCAGAAGGGACCCTCCAACCCCCGACCTAGTCCCATTACTCAGGCCATACCATTAAACATGCTTGCCCACCTCCCATTCGCTGAACCTCACATCACCCCAGAAACTGTTCCTAAGGGCTCCTGCTTTTCTTCCCCCATGGCCAGGGCAGGGCAGCTTGCACATCCTGCCTCCTGCTCCCAGAGCTGGGCTTTTTCCTACACGTTTCTCCCCTGCACATATTTTGTGATCAAGAGCATTAGAAATGGATGTGCCAGACAAGGCAGCATTGTCAGGGCAGCAAGCACCAGGGCAGTACACTGGGACAGGACAAAGCCCCCTGTGTTTCTTCACTGACAATAAGCCATGTGGGCTTGTGCAGGCAGTGCTGCCAGCTTCACCTGGCTCTGCCCAGCAAGATCCCAGGCTGACACAGCAGGGCTCGTTCAGCCTGGAGAAAAGAAGGCTCTGGGAGACCTTAGAGTAGCTCCAGTGCTTAAAGGGGCTACAAAAAACTCGGAGAGGGGCTTTGGACAAGGGCCTGCAGGGACAGGACAAGGGAGAATGGCTTTAACCTGACAGAGGGGAGACTGAGATGAGCTCTTGGGCAGAAGTTCTTCCCTGTGAGGGTGCTGAGACCCTGGCACAGGTTGCCCAGAGAAGCTGTGGCTGCCCCATCCCTGGCAGTGTTCGTGGAAGCAACCTGCTCTAGTGGAAGGTGTCCCTGCCTGTGACAGGGAGTTGGAACTGTATGAGCCTCAAGGTCCCTTCCAATCCAAACCATTCTTTGAGACTGTGATCACAACCCCAGCTGGGAACCAGAATACATCATGGCTGCATCTGTGGCGCATTCTCACCCGAGCCTTGCTGTGGGCATCTCCCTGCGATGTTTGGTCATGCTGGGAAACATGAAGGGTGCAGGGCTGGAGCCTCACATCTCCCTAGGAGGAGGGTGTGAAGGGACCCTGCTTTGCTGTGGTGCAGCTGGGAGGTGATGAAGGAGGGTGAAGTGGGTGCCAGAGCCCTTGCTCTGCATGTCAGTGCACAGGCTGTGGTTGAGACTGCAGAAATCACAGAAAGTGCCATTTGCTTTGCAACAGCCTTCCCTTTCCAGGACCTATTGCTATGTGGTGGTGTCTTATCCTCTGCTTGCTCTGTCCTGGGTTAGAGGCTTTCTAAATAAAAAAATACGCACAAACTTGCTGCTTCAAGGAGCTTCCTGGGGAGGGGATGGTGGAGAAGGCAGCTGGGGGTGAAGCAGGGCAGCATCTCCTCCAGAGTCCAAAGATCAGGGGTGGACACAGCACAGGGCTGGGCTTTTCCATCCTGCCAGGGCAGGAACAGACTCATCTACCTGGGATTTTATTGTGGATCACTCTGCAGGCACATGATGCTGCAATTGTTATGCAGTTAAACTTGATGAACAGTGAAAGTTGAGCCCCAGGAGCAGTGTACATGGGAGTTGCAAACCAGACCAGACCAAGCAGTGGAAATAAGCCCAAAACTTTGCTGTACCTGGGAGAGCTCAAGGGTGAGCCCCACACATCCAGCTCTCATCCATCATGAGCTGTCTCTGACACTGAGCCAGCCCCTGCAGAGACTGGCCTTGTGCATGGGGGCTTCTTGGTGGAGTAGGGGGCTTTGGTGATGAGGTTGCCCATATTTCACCCCTCCTGCCATGCAAGACATCCTTGTGCAGCTCTTGAGACAGCAGTACCAAGCATGAGCTTACCTGCGAGTGAGGAGGGTCCCAGGTGAGCTCCCTGCCCTGAGCTGCCCCTCAGTCCAGCCCTGCTGTGCTGACCATGGGGACCCAGCTGCTGGAGGTGCAGGTGAGCCAGGGCTCCTGGGTGATGCTCTGCAGGAACCATCACCTGAACGCTTCCCCGTTTCACTCTGCAGGTGCTGGGCTTACTGGTGTGGGCTCCCATCGCTGACACAACGTACTACCTTCACGCTGCCTACAGCTGGGTGATGTTTGTGTCCATCTTCTTCTGGATAGTAACAGTCCTTTTCTTCATGACTTACCTCCTACAGCTTCAGCTCAAGTTCTACATGGTCCCCTGGTCCCTCATGGTGCGTAGCCAAGAGGAAGCGAGCGGGGTTCCTAAGTGGGAAACATCCTGGGGAGATGCTGTAAGAGGAATGAGGGCTTCACACTCTTCTGGGCTGATGGAACAAAAAGTCCCCTGCACTTTGCACAATGACATTTTTTCATTCTGCTCCTCGATTGCTTAGCAAATGTTTGAAGCAGGAAGGCCTGAATCAATCCTGAAAGTTACAGCCACTGTGTTGCTGCTGCAAGCGTGGTGTCAACCACAAACCTCTCAGCACAGCCTGGGGTGCATGTAGTGAGATGTTATCTTCTTTGTTCCCAGTGTGAGGGGCTGGACCCTTTTCTTCAGCTTCTCCTGGGGATGAGGGAGGAACATGAAACAGCCTTTTGCCCATCCCTCATCCCAGCAAACTCAAGTCTGAGCCCAGACCTCATGACCTCCTCTTTATCTTCCCTAGCTGATGATCTTCAACGCTGTGGCAACTGTCCTGTACATCACCGCCTTCGTAACGTGCGCGGCTGCCGTCCAGCCAACATCCTGGCGGCAGTGGGATTACAACCGAAGAGCCGCGGCATCTGTAAGTAGCGGTGGGCAGGGGAAGGCCACAGGGCCAGGCAGCCACTGTGCTCACCTGTGGCCTCTGCTCCTCTTCCAGTTCTTCGCCTGCCTCACCATGGTTGCCTATGGGGTGAGCACCTTCTTCAGCTTCCGCGCCTGGAAAGGGCTTGGCAGCAATGCAGCCACCAGCCAAGTGACTGACCATGCATAAGGACAGCAAAGCCCAGCCATGGACCACCCTGACTCAGCTTGTGCCAGGCTCCATGGCTTGGAGCTTCGCGTGCCACCAGGTCTCGCTCTTGGAGCAGCAATGGTCAGTACTGAGTCACGTGGATGCTGCTCTGTGGTCTCCGATGATGCTTCCAAGCAGAAACCCACCGGTTCTGTCACTGACAACCTTGCGGGAGGACATGGACTTGCTGGAGGCTGAAGCTCCTGCTTGTCCTTGGGGTTTGTCCTTGCTGGAGCAGCTCCATGGAGAGGTCACTCCCATACTAAAATTCACTAAACCAAGCTCTGGTCATTCCCAGCTACAGTGTAAGTGATTATAATTAATGTGCTACATAAATGGTAGCAGAGCTGGAAGGTGAAGGCTAAGCAAAGGAAGCAGTGTGAACTGTTCTTGTATTGATTTCTAACAATTTGAAGCACAAATTATATATAAATCTTTAACAAATAAATCTTGCTAAATAAAAAATCTTTAAATTAAAATCTACTTAAATAAAAAATATGTTTAAATAAAAACATCTCTAAATCCAGCACTGGAGTCTCTCAGGACAACATTTTCTTGTAAGGTGACGGGTACAGCACGACATAGAGTAGGCAGCAGGGATGGCAGTGCCAGAGGGGACTGCCCATTCCCACAGCCCAGCCCTATGGGAGGAGGAGGAAGGCATGCATCCAAGACCACAAGAAGACGGAAGAAGTGCCACGGCTTGTATACACTCCTTCCTCTAGGCTCTGCACCACTCACACGCCCTGCAGCTCACAGGATCACATACGAACCAGCAAGTCAATTTTGCCCCTTGCTACAGGTGGTCTTAGGGTTAAAAACCAAGTCTGCAGCTGGTCTGGGAACGCATCCTGGATCACTGCTTGGGAGAATGAGGAGCCACCTGCTCCCCTGCACTGCAGATGACAAATTCACCTTCCACTTCCTGGGGACACGGGCTGGTTTGTCAGAACTAGAAGTGATGCCCAGCCAGGCACAGCAGCTTTTCCTTTTGCACCTTCCTCGTACAAGCTAATAAAAATACATGAAACAAGTTCAATTTATTTCCAGATCTTGCTACAAAGGAAAGCTGGAGCACAACACACTGCAAAATGCACTGCATGCTCCACATGGGAGAATGTCTAACAGCTCCTGAACAGAGGCAGGCTCAGAAAAATCTAACTGCATTAATGGAAGGTGTGAACCAAAAAGGGACTGGACAAACTGCATCAGTCCCTGACACACCAGTCTCTGTTTGGTGTTCAGTGAGCGAAATGAAGGGTAATGTTTCGACAACTAGAATATATATATAAAAATTAGTAAGAAAATTAGCCTCTGCATGCATTGTTATGACAACATTAAAACTCTTAAAACATGATGCCAGGCTTGCACACAGGTAGTTCATTATATAGAGACATTTAATCTCTTAAAAAAGCCCGTCTGTCTGATGGAAAACACACTGAAACAGGGATGAGTGACAGGAGTGTCACAGAGGGACAAGTTATCCTGGGAGCAGCAGCTCACAGAAACACAGACAGAAGAGAACAGCATAGAGGCAGACAGGTCTTGCAGGGAACACCAAGATACAATTCCCCATCAAAAGAAGAATTCACCCCCAGCCATGCCTTGTAGCGTCTGGATTGACAAGAGGTCTTGTTTAAAATACAACAGAATTCCTAACTGAATTCCTAACAGAATGTAAGTGCCAAGGTATTTACTCACGCTGCCATTGACTGAAGTAATTGAAACAACTATAACAGGAAAAGAGTGAAAACTTTTCAAACAATGACAGGGATATTTTCAGTTTTAGCTGCAAACCATTATTTTAGCTCTACAATTAACAAAATATGTCAATAGGATTCCTTTAAAGTTTGAGGATTCTTCATCTGCAGAAGCAAAGTCTTGCATGAACTGTTCTAGGAGGAGGACATTGATGATTTGTTTAGTGAAGTCACCACTAGCCCACTGCTTAAATCCACACTTCGGCCTTCCTTTTCCTGGAAACATGGGAGAAAAAGAAATCTGTGACTCAATGCTTTTTTGGAATAAGCAATTCAAACACTAAAATGGGCAATACGCACTCTGTTGGCTGCACCAAATCAATATAAAATTACATGTTACCTGAGCATCTGAGATTGAATGTGAATCTAAACTTTAAGAACAGGTTCTGCAGGAACCCTGGAGCAAGGTCACTCTCTCTGCTGGCCAGGGCAGTGCAGATTCTTGCCCACATCAGTCAAGAACACCCAGGCAGTCCTCAGGGAACAAGGGAGATCTCACTTGTGTGGTCTGCCTTTCAGGAGACCTCAAAGGTGTAAAGCCCAACTGAAGCTACTCCTCCTGTCTCCTCCTCCTCAACCCGCCCTCGTTTTCATGACACTTTAAGGGGTGGGGAAGGCGTCAGAGGGCTTAACTCTGACAGCAACTTTGACTCTTTTGCTCCTTTGTCAAATGTGGCTGGACAGATATTGGAGAGCCTTTAACATGTATTGCATTTCCCTAGGAAGAAGCTTATCCCAAAATTTAATCCTTTAGTTTTGCTTGTTTCTACAGCTTGGACAGAAAGGAAGAGAAATACAAATGGAATAAGCTTAAAAAGCTAAGTCTGGATGAGCAGGGAGTGGGGAGGAGAGAAAAAATATCATAAAATCACAGGATGGTCAAGTAGGATGGGAGCTCTGGTGGTCACCTGGTCCAAACCCTCTGCTCAAGCAGGGCCACGCAGGACTGTGCCCAGACTGCTTCTGAATATCTGCAAGGATGATGTCGTGGTTTAAGCCCAGCTGGTAACTTGGAACCACGCAGCTGCTCGCTCACTCCCCACCCTTCTTCCTCCCCCTGCTCCCAGAGGGATGGAGAGGAGAACCAAAAGAATGTAACTCCCATAGGTTGAGATAACAGCACTCCAGTAACTAAGGTATAATACAAACCACTACTGCTACCACCGATAATAATAACAATAAGGGAAATAACAAGGGGAGAGGACACAACTGCTCACCACCCACCGACCGACACCCAGCCCGACCCGAGCAGCGATCTGGGCCTTCCGGGTAAATCCCCCAGGTCTTTATATACTGGTCATGACGTGCTGTGGTATGGGATACCCCTTTGGCCAGTTTGGGTCAGGTGTCCTGTCTCTGCTTCCTCCCGGCTTCCCCTCCTCTCTGGCAGAGCATGAGACTGAGAAAGTCCTTGGTCACAGTAAACATTACTTAGCAACAACTGAAAACATTGGTGTTATCAGCATTGTTCCCAGGCTGAAAGTCAAAAACACAGCACTGCACCAGCTACTAAGAAGGAGAAAAATGATTGCTATAGCTGAACCCAGGACAGATGGAGACTCCACAGTCTCCCTGGGCAACCTGTGCCAGTGCTCGGTCACAGTGAGGAAGTGTCTCCTGAAGTTCACCTGGAAATCAATATTCAAAAATGCACAAAGTGTGTGTTTCTAAAGAACTGCTCCACATACCAGCTTCGTTCAAGTCTTCTAGAAATCATTAAATGTGCAGTTTGTGTTTAAACAGCCATTTAGTGAAGTTCTTTTCCTTTTGACCCTGGTACAGCCTTTGAATAAATGCTGCTGCCTACTGTAGTAACATGAACTTTGGTACTCTCAGGCAGAGCTACACAAAACCAACAGCCATTATACCAACGAAAATAAACAATGTGACATACTTACAGCTCTGTAATCCAGAAACATTTCTTTGAAAGCCAGAAAGTCGATAAATGTGAGAAGCATATCAAATATGTCACCTGCAATTTCATCTTTGTGCTGTCTATAGAGAGAAGAATTTTGGGAATTAGAAAACTGTGTGGGAAATAGTTATTTTAAAATGGTTTGAGGTCAACAAGGATACTGGGACAAGTAGAGCAATATTAAAATTTAAACAAGAATGTCTAAAATAAAGCAAAACTTTAGCCAAATACTACCTTGCAGTATTTCCATCCAAGTACATTAATACATTACATTTATCTGAAGCCAAGACATAACTGTTTCACATCAGTCCTTGAAATCCAGACAAAGAAACTGGCCTGTAAGTCAACAGAAGGAACACTCAACTAGCCTTTACCTAGCACTGGAACAGCCAGACAGTCTGATTTGTGGGAAAGCTTGGCGGGAGGCAAAGAATCATACACATCCCTTAAGTGTGCTGATGCTACCTGGTAGAGAACTTTTGATGAAAACATTTGGAAGAAAGTCCTTGTGCTCCCCTCTCAGCTTATCACAGAATCCCAGACTGGTTTGTGTTGGAAGGGACCTTAAACCTCATCCAGTTCTAACACCCGGCCATGGGCAGGGACACCTTCCACTAGAGCAGGTTGCTCCAAGCCCTGTCCAAGCTGGCCTTGAACACTTCTCCACTTCTTCCAGAGAAGCCACAGCTTCTCTGGGCAATCTGTGCCAGGGCCTCAGCACCCTCACAGGGAAGAACTTTTGCCTAAAATCTCATCTCAGTCTCCCCTCTGTCAGGTTAAAGCCATTCCCTCTTGTCCTGTCCCTACAGACCCTTGTAAATATTTCAACAAGACTTTCTTAATAGTTAAGGGCTGGTTTTGTTTTGTTGTTGTTGGTGGTTTTTTTCTCTTGTTTTGTTTTGTGGGGTAGTTTTGTGGGGGGTTTTTTTGGTTGCTGTTTCATTTTTTTTTTTAATTATTTTATTAAATTTAATTAATTTCTTATCAAAAGGAGCTTTACCTTAAACAGTCTAAGTACTGAGTTCATAGTAATTTTCTAATGTCCTATTACAAGGAAAGAATAAAATCTAGCATTTTAACATACTCAGTTCCCAACTACACTTGATTCAAGGGGAAAAACAGTGATCTTACAGAAGTGACCTCTTCATGAAGTTGGTTAAACTGAAGTGACCAAATGAAGTGATTAAGACAAACCAAACTCTTCTGTGAATATTTTGTACAAGAAATACTTCAGTAAAGGCATTTCAGCACATGCCTCTTGAAAGACTAGCAGGCTATTTAAGCGTCCCACACCACACCTGGATGAAATAAACAAGACTAAACCTTTCAATGGTCTGGCTTCAAAGCAACAGTGATTATGAAAAACCTCCAGTGTTCTCATTCTGATTTCTCATCCTACCCCTTAATATCTGATTTATGTCAGCATGATAGTTCAGAAATTCAGAGTAGCTGGGCATGCTGAAGGCAAGAGAAGCAGTCAGTCATTGCCTGCATAAATACTTCTTTTTTAATTCATGAGGAATCTCTTTCTAAAAGGGAGAACTTTGAAACCTCAGCTTTAATCTAGATAAAAAGATTTGAGAGGCTTATAAACCATCCCGCAACCAAAAGCAGACACTTACTGCAGTGACATTATGAAAGCAGTCATATTGAAACCAGGAATCCGTTCAAGCAACTTTTCTTCTATGTATTTCTCTACTAAATGGATCTGAAAAAAAAACCCAAACAAACCACCCCTATAACATCATAACAAACTTCACGAGCAGATTCCAAAACAGCACATCTTCCTTACAATGACACCTTATTGGCAGTTCGTATTATCCTCACTGGGCAAACAACTGGAGATTCCTTGGCTGGGAATTGCTATACCACCGCTGAGACAGAGCTAAACATTTTTTCTGGGAATATTGTTGAGAATATATGCTATTTGTACCTAGTAACAAATTATTTTTAACTCATTGGATAGTACTGACTAGTAGGCTGTATAATTTCATAATTATGCTTGGCATTAAGAAGGCAATTGAAGTGTCCAGAACATGAAATAATACAACTGGAAAAGAACAAACTTTGTTATGCACACATTAAATACATTATTTATTACAGCAACAAGCTAAATCTCTATTCAGGAGAGTTATACAACTTCTAAAACATCTATAGAAATTTTGAGGTGAAACAAAGAGCAAGGAACCAGGCCTTCAGAAAACATCTTTCTTGCTCACAGGCAGCATGTTGGCTCTGCTCCATATAAAACCAGTAGTTCATAAAGGGGGGAATACAGGACCTGACACTGGCCTCAAGAAAAGTGAAAAATACTACATGCAAAAAATAGTAAAATAGTATCTTACATATTCATTAAAAATACAAGTATAGATGAGCTTGTTTTCTTCCGAGTCGTCAAACGCCTGGTAGTGCTTCTCCATAAAAGTCCTCTGCATTAGCTGGAAATCATCATCTGGGCCACAACAAAAATGCGTCACACAGTTATGAGTTCAGCCATTCTTTCTGATCACAAACCCCACATTCACTAGTTCTCTACTCCCCCGTTGTGCCCACAGAGCCCAGGGCACGTGCAGAATCTGTCACACCAGTCCCACAGCTGGTGAGCCACCTCTGCTGATCCATCTGTGAGAAGACATGAGGCTGCTGGTGGACAGCAGCGCTGCTCCAGCTACGGGAGTGGCGTCAACAGGGCAGCAGCACATCTGTCTGTGTTCTGACAGCATTCAGAATGGAATGGGACCAACAGCTAGCAAGGTCTATAATTACTTCTCAGAAGCTTCACTTACAGTTAGTATTAGCAAAGAAGTGCTCCTTCTCTACGTTTCATTAATAAGGTTATTTATTCTGAACATCTTCTTGTTCAGGTGCTCAATTCAGCAAAACATCTGTATTTTTTAATAAAGTTTACAAAATTCTTCACTACAAGAATTCAATTTTTCCCCCCCTTGAATTAAAAAATACTAGCAAAATTCCCAGATTCATTTTCAATTGCTAAGGAATTCTTTTCCAGTTGTGGAAAGAAACAAGAATAAAAATTAACGTTCCAGGTGACCACCAAATTCACCAGAACAGGTGTAAGTGTAAAGTTTACGTATAGAATCATAAAATCATAGAATGGTTTGGGTTGGAAAGGAACTTAAGATCATCTAGTTCCAAGCCCCCTGCCATGGGCAGGGA